GGGTTGTGGTGAAGAAACTGTCTTCAAAACTGTTCTTTGAAGAGGAAACTCTCACATTCTGCTTTAATTTCAAAGATGGGAGACAATACCAGAGAACACACCTCTAGAAGACATTGACTTTGTTTCAACATTTATTAGTGTGAAGATTAGGCTGAAGCTGCAGTTCAGCCGGTAGCTGGTCTAGCATACGTGAAGTCCTGGATTTGATTGTCAGCATTACTTGAAAGAGAGCTCAGTGGTGACTACCTTTAATCTCAGTACAGGGGCAGTGGTATAAGAAGTTCAAGGTTATTCCCAGCTACATAGCAGGCTTGAGGAGAGCCAGGGCTACATGAGACATATCCAAAATAAAACCCATAAAACAACAACAACAGCAACCATCAAAATCACCAATATTATTGGGTCTAGCATATCCTACAATGACTTTTTAATAATTTAGTTTGAAAGGTCAGCAGCAGGATCTGGGTGACACAGAGAAGGTGTCTGGCTACTTCTTGAAATGAATAATGACTTTTGAACTTGGAAGTTCTAGTTAGGTGAGTGATAATTAGATGTTAGTAATGAATATTAGGCTCTGCAGAGATTCATAACCCAAGAGAAGTAGACTACGGGAATGTTACACATACTTAGGTGCAAACATCCAAGTAATATGACTTAAGCTACATAATAATCTAAATTACACAGTAGTACTGTTTAGGTATCAATATTTAAAAAGAAAAAACATTCTAACCTATACCTTTCTAGAAGCATTTTAAAATTCTATTTTCTCCCTGAAGGTTCAATATATATATATATATAATGAGTGGGATAGACATTGATAAGTAATGAGAAAAGCATTTGAACATGTTCTTTACTGAAGTTCATGCACTGGTAAAAATATGGATAAAAATAATGTTTAAGTCAATATTATAAAAATAATTTTATAATATCTCAAATCAGCAAATAATGTAGTAGTCATAAATATATACTTTCCTAAAAGTGCCTATTTTATATTATTGATCAATTTTTCAACTTAAAACAACTCCAAAGAATAGAAATATACAATAAAATGCAGTTGCTGATTTGGGCACAATGTCTTCATTAAAGACATCTGTGCATGTGTGCATCTCTCTGTATGAAAAACAAAATCAAAACAAAATTGCAATTATAAATGAGATTTTTTTTTTGGCACCAGAGAGATGGTTCATCTGATAAAGACACTTACTGTGCAAGTGTGAGTAGCTCTGTTCAAATTTCTAAAATTCACATAAAAAGCCACATGTAACTTTGTAAATGTCTAGCAACTCAGCCCTATCGGGGGAGGGGTAGACACAGGAGGATCGCTGAGGGTTGCTGGCTGCCAGCCTAGGCCCAGCTTCAGTACACCATCCTGTCTCAGGGGAAGAAGGTAGAAACAACATCCCAGGTCATCAGTGTGTTGATGCGGTGTGCACACTGGCACGTGTATCTCCATGTGTGCCAACATTAGACACACACACACACACACACACACACACAAAATTTGTTAAGAGTCTACAGTTAAAAGCAGAAAAGACTAAAACATTGCCAAATCTGTGTGACTGAGCCCACTACTATCAAGAAGGAAATTCTAAGCCTTCAGGAACGATCTCTGGGAGAGCAAATAAGACTCTCTTGACTTCAAGTTCTTATGTTAAAAGTCAATATTTGCCTGGAAACTTCTTACTGAAGAGTCCTATACAGCTCTTTAATGAAAAAGAAACTGGTCTTTGTTAAGATCAAAGTGTTAGATCCTGGTAAAAATTGACTAACTGTAACAAAAACCACACATGCAAAATAGCTGTGCTACCCTATAGCCAGGGAAACCACTTCCTTGTGCTCCCTGCCACTACACAGCTGCCCAGAACTATGGACCACACCTGACAAAGCCAGAGAAGATGCAAAAGGAACAAACTACTCCTACCAGCATATGCAACACAAAGCTTACAAAATGCTCTCATGATGTCACCAGTACATTTATGGACTTGGGTACTGGACAGCACTTGTAGGTATCCTCAGCTCATGGGACTGTAGGCTGCAAAGTGAACACTGCTTCTAGTCTAATGAACACTATGTGTAGTAATAACAGCATGAAAAGAGTCGAGAGGCTCAAAAGATTCTAGCCAACAGCTTCTAGTGACAAAGTAGAAAGCCTGAAGCCTGAAAGTTAGCTGTCTGTGTTCCAGCACATAGTTCCAGTATGCACCCAGAAGCAACCAGAAATTATCAATACAAGGAAATATAAAATGTGACTACAAAGTTGATATCTTGGACTTAGAGTCACATGGACCTTGAATCCACAATAGCAATAACAAGAGTCTTTTGCTTTAACGAAACAATGCACAGAGACATCACTATATTTTATTCTTCATTCCAGAGATCCCTGGGTTTATCTGTTTTGTTTTGTTTTTTTTATATTAAGAAAAGCCCTTGCCATGATCCCCTGTTTTTATTTTTTTTGTCTGTGTATCTGTCTGTGCTCAGGATGTTGGGACTTTTCAGAACTTACACACATACTTAAGGCCAGGATGTAGCATTGTTGAAAACAAAGGTGAACTTGTAATCCGCATAGCATTCATTCTCACACAAATTTACCACGCACTAATAAAGATTAGTGGGCAAGATTCTCTTATCCATTCCACCCTTTTTTACTTGGTGTTTCTCTCCCTGGTTTACAGCAGGAGCTCCATAAATATAAATGACACAATCCATAACTTGTCAGAGCTGTGACAACACACAGAAAGAAATAAACCTATAAAAGTGACAGCGATATAGAAAGGGAAGAGAACTCCATTTAATAAAATAAAATGCTTTTAACACATGGTATAAAACACAGAAGCTAGACTGTATCCAGAGAAATATAAATTTAGTTTCTTATTAAGCCAAATTTCTTTAATATGAGCATTTACATCCTTTTATCACAGATAAGATCTTACTCTCCCGAGGTTGCTCATGGTAACAATCTTTGCACCTGGGAGGCTGTGGCAGGGGACCAGGGGGCCATGAGGTTGAGGCTAACTTGAAATACACAGTGAGTTAGCAGACAGCCATGCCTACAGTGTGACACCTGTTTCATTTGAGAGTGTACCCACCTTTCCATCAACTTGACACAGCTTAAGAGTCATTTGAGTGAAAGTTTCTCAGATCAGTAACTGTCTTTATCAGATTTCTCTGTGGGCATGTCTATGGGGGAATTGTCCAGATTATTAATTAATGCAGGCCTGTCTTACCATGGATGGCACCATTCCTGGACAGGTGGTCCCTAACCTGTGAAGAAGCAGAGAACCAGGAAGCAGCACTCCGCCATGGTTTCTACTTTATGGTCCTCCTGGGGATCTTACCCTGACTTCTCCAATCATATATTATGGCTGGAAAATGTAAGCAAGTTAACTCTTTCTTCCACAAGCTCTCTTTGGTTCCTGTCTTATTATAGCAACAGGAGGTTGATTTTATATATATGTATATATTAGACACACATATATCCGTAAGTTAAATATACAATGTTAAAATCAAACAATGTCAACTCTGACAGAGAACTCTATGTGAACACCATGTTTCTTTTTTTAAATTTCCATATATTTTTACTTATTTCCAAATAAAAACAGTTTCTGAAGAATGTTCCAACCATACATGCTTTCAACATCAAGGGCAGGTTTCAGTTCAAAGGCTCTTGACTGTGGTAAAAGCTTGAAACTGAAGACACCTGCACTGAGCACCTAGGCTGAGCTGTGCTTTCAATCCTTGCAGTCAGGGCTGAGCCTTTGGTACAATTCAGCTTTACAATGCAGGCTGTACCAAACACTTAGCAAGGGTCCTCCATGTGGGCTTCATTTGTATTGAGATGGCTATCTCAAAGCACACTATGAAATGATCCCATTTGCCTTTTCATGTTTGAAGAAGCAATTTCTTTTTATAAGAAAAAACATGCGTATTCTCGATATAGTACATAAGAAGCTGTGTGCTCTGTCAGGAAAATGCCTGGAGAGGAATTTCAAACCCATCACCACACTCAAGCCCTGCCCTGAATAAATACCAGATTCCCAGCCTATTTAGAGTGTTCACAGGTGCCGGTTACATATATGTGTGTGTATGTATGTATATATGTGTGTGTGTATGAGAGAGAGAGAGAGGGAGAGAGGGAGAGAGGGAGAGAGAAGGAGAGAGAGGGGGGAGGGAGGGAGGGAGAAGGGGAGAGGGGGAGAGGGGGAGAAGGGCAGAGGGGGAGAGAGTGAGAGCGAGAGCGAGAGAGCGAGAGAGCGAGAGAGCGAGAGAGAGAGAGAGAGAGAGAGAGAGAGAGAGAGAGAGAGAGAATATGAGAATACACATCTGTCTGTGTGCATACATGGGACAGTATCTACACGAATTCACAGGGAGTCAGGATCAACTTTAGAAACAGGGTACCCTGTAAGTCCCCACCGCTGCTGGAAACAAGAAAGTGAATGAGACGCACATCACAGAACCACTTCTTTAATAATCCACAGCGAACTTCTTACCATTCCCTATACAGCCCACCCTAATATCTCCAGACTTAAAGAATGAAAGCGATAGGGAACTTCTGACTTTCCGAGTTTTGGAGTAATTTGGATGGGTGAGCTTCACATCCTGATAAACAGAAAGAAAGAGAATGGCAACAAGTCTTTCTCTCAGACAGGAGCACATGTGGACCATGACACAGAAGGGCAGGTGAGAACTTTGCCCAGGTCCTGCTCTTTGCTCTCACTTCACTGAGAATGCCTCCAGATCAAATTAGATGGCCACACCCATAGGCATCCAAAGCTGTTCTTATACTAGTTCTTTATGTAGTACCCATTGGAGATATTAGGGGTCCATCCTATATGACTGTATTTCAAATCAAACAAAAAATCATAAAGCCAAAGCAAAGCTAACCTTTTCATTCTCAGCCAATAAGAAGCAGGCATTAACAGCTCAAAGCGTGCCGAGAGGAAACTAGGTTACACAACCTCTTTATACATCTCCAAGTAAAGAAATATGGTTTCACCCACCTGGGGTCTTTCTGAATGCTGTCAATGGATGGGGATCTGGCCAAGGTGCCTTCGGGTGGGAGGGCAGGGCCAGATTTGCTGTACGGAGAGTCAACGGAGGCACAATACTGCAGCTGTCGGTAGGGGTCTGCGTAGTTGGAGGCTGGGCCAGCAGCATAGCTGGCCCTCTGGAAGGTGGCTGCTGCCGCATTCTGTGGCCCGTGTTGGCTGCCTGTGCGCTGCAAGGGGACGGAGTCGACACCAGGGGAGGACGGGGCTAGGACAGGAAAGTAGGGACAAAGTAAAAAATTGAGGACCTGCTCACAGAAATGGTTAACCAGGTCTAGGCAGGGGTGGGGAACATTACACACATAAGAAAAAAAAACAGGGGTTCGAAAGAATAAAACAAAATTAATCTGTCACAGGTGACCCAATGTAGCCAATGGTTCTCTAGTCAAATGTCAACGCGCATGCAGTCTCAGAAGTGAGCTGGAGATGCTGAGAGGGCACACACATACCGGCTAAGTGTGCACTGCTAAAGGACATCAAAGGGAGGGCACACACATCCCACACATGACCACTGTTCATGACTACAACCTGGGCTCGATGGTGACTCTGAGCGAGCGTCTGCTTGGCGTGCATAAGGCCCTGGGTTTGCTCTCCAAGCAGAGGCTACGCTAAAGTCCAGCGGAGAATACTTTATAAGGAAGCTCAATTAGCTCTTTATTGGTCTAGCGGAGAGCATTCAGAATGTGTTCAGATCAACGTTGTGAAGTTCGTAATAAATTTAGCGGCCAACTCCTTTTCCAGAGTAGAGGAAAGGGAAGGCAGAGTGTATAACTGTGGGGATGGATCAGAGAGGAAGGCTCAAGATGCATAATTAGTGCTACCACAGCGTCCGTGCTGGGCTCTTCTCTGTTCTGTTAAATCCCTAAAGGTTTCATGTCCCTGTTTCTCAGAAAGCAGTGACAGGGACAAACGCACTAGAGAGATGGTAGATGTGTAGGGGGAGGAAAAAGCTATCCAGCAGCAAGGCAGGTAAGGAGCTGATGCGGCTTTTCCCGGAGTCTTTGCACCTTTCCGACATGTCTAGGTTGCTTTGAGGTTTCATGCAAGTACTAAGATCAGTTCCACTGTTTCCCAACCGAATCTCCATTTTCGTTTCTTTCCTGAGGTCTTTTTAAGATGGTGTCGGGCCTCTGTTTTTATCTGTTTCTCAAAAATATTTACATCTAATGTCAAAATGACACATTAAAATGGAAATATCATCTTTCCTATGTGCGGGAGGTGACGGGGTATTTGCTACTCTTGCCTTTGTCAGGCACAATCACTATGAGGACATTCACATTGTGACATCATACAGACACAGAGTTATGCAGTGCCTAGATACAGGATGCCATACCTGTATGTGCACTGTACGGAATTAGATTTCAGTTATAAGACACACAGCACAATTCTGACTTCCCAAGAATTAGGTTGTCATATTTTTTGTCATCTTTTCTCATGAGGGCCATATACCAGATGAGACATAAAGGTAATTATGTCACATCAAAGAAACAATTGCTAAGGGCGTGTAAGGAATTCTGTCAAAATAACAAATGTTCAAAGTAAACTGGAGATGAGATTCTCCTGTTGAGGTCAGGATTTGAACCCATGACCTCAGGATTTTACCTTTCTAATCGACTTTCCATCCTTTATGATACAATGGGCAAACATTTTAGGAGAACAGGGATTAATGCAATGAAAACTGCTGTTTTCTGTGATGGAGAAAAAGCGCCCACACTCCCTAAGAGGTTGTATTCTACAGTGATTGCTAGACATGGTAGCTAAGTGAAGTTGTGGCAGGTGCCCATTCTCAGTCTCCATAAAGATATAAATGTCATAAAAAAATTAAAATATAATTAAGAATACCCTGTATGGTGTAATCAAGGCAGTTTAAAATCTAGATAAGAATACAGACACAAAACACCACTTTCACTGAGATTTAGGATAAGCTAGGAAGAAAATCAAGGAGAAACTTAGTACATAGACTGCACCACTTTCACAGAGGTACATTCTTCATTCAGGAGACTAAAGCATCAGTGTTTATTCTTACTGAAAATTGTTTTCAGGCAAAAATAAATTTTTTTTCTAAAAATATAGTTGCTGTGGATCCTGGTGATTCACAAAAGAAGGCACATGTGGTAGAGAACTAATGTTGCAGTGTATAGAGGCCATTTTGGTGGCTGAGAAGCATTTAGTTGGTAACGTGTTATTTGTGAAGGAGGAGAACCTGAGTTGGTTTCCTGGACTCATGGAACAAAGCTGGGCATGGCAGAGGGTGCTTGCCAATCTCATACTGAAAGACAGAAAAAATGAATCCATGGGGCTCGCCTGGCTGCCAGTCTAGGCTAATTGGTGACCTCCAGACCTTGTCCCAAAGACAATCAACGCATAAGCTTGTTTCTCATACCTTACTCACATGTACCTGCTGACACCAAATACACACATCTTCCTGCATCCACAGGAACACGTATGTCCAAGCTCATACATCACACCCACAAGGCCATTTTTACATACTGCTACGATGGTTAAGACGAACAAGATGACTGTCTCCCAGTATGTCTGAAGATACCAAGTTACAGCAGAAAAGGGGTTAGGAAAAAGACGGATGGGTAGCAGCCCCAGACCTGTCAAGAATGCAAAGGTATGGGCTCAGAATGTGCAGCAGTGTGAAATTCCATTATGGCAAACGGGGAAGCAAGGCCTAGAGAAAAGGGTGATGGAGATGGCGAAGTTCATACTTGGTTTGACGTTTTGTTTAGATTAATGTTATTATTTTGTGTATACGAATATTTTACCTCCATGTATGTCTGTGCAATACACATGTGCCTGTTTCCTGCATCATGTCAGAAGAGGCCAGTGGATAACTTGGAACTGGAGATATAGGCAGTTTTGAGCTACCCTGTGAGTGACAGGTTCTAGGCAAGAGGGACTAGAAATCTTAACCATTGAGACAAGTCTCCAGCCCCCTGCTTTGTTTTCATTGTGGCTTCTTACAGGGAAAGACCATATAGCTCATTGGGTGATTGGTGTCAGAAGTCCAATCTGGACTCCTGCTCTTAAATAAGGTAATGGTTTCTCTAAGATGAAACTTGAGTCCACAGAAGGGAGCGAATGGCCTCCTGGGAGTATTGTTTGGTTTTAATGCAGGAAAAGCATCCGATATATAACACAGGGGAAGCGGTACACTAATGAGCGGTCCACAATGGAGGCTGAAATCTACAGCACCACACAAAGGAGCGATGCAAGGGGCCTCAAGGGGAAAGGTCCTTGCACTGGACATCAGAAGACTCCTGCATCCCTGTATCAAGTCACGCCGCCTCAACAAGCTGTTAAAGAGGAAGCACTCGAGCTTTACAGATGGGAAAGGGAGGCTTGGAGAGATGACGCTGTCTACCAGCATGGTCTCCACTAGAAGATGAATGTAAGCCCCTGTGGCTGGTCTCCAGATGGTATGCTTACAACCCGTTCCTAGACCAGGCTTAGACAAATACTTGTGAGTTGCGTAGTAGAATGAGTAAAATTTAAATAATGGCAGAGATCTTATGAGCAGAGGAAATGTCAACTAAAGGTAGAGGGAAGAGATGGGTTAATCACAGGAATCAAACACCCGAATATCACACTGGAAAATTATGATAGATTGGTGGGTAACGAGTTTATGTCGTTTTTATAAATATCAGATTTATAAAGTTACGTAGAAAAGTTGTATAAAAATATCCCAAACATCTGACTTTTTCCTCACCTGAAGAAGACACACGTAAGAATGCGTCTAATTGTCTTAGTTTTACAGTGTCTTGATTCGGGGTCCCATCCATGCTATCACTGTGTTAGGCTATGGTGGTGTGAGGTACAGAATCTGAGACGGACAAGTCCTCGGTTTTCAAGACTCACAATAACTGCAAATTCAGTAATTTTGACTTTGATAAATTGCCCCCTTGAGGTATCATCCATGAACATGGAGAGAAAAATGGAAGGAGAGAGGGAGGGAGGGAGGGAGAGAGGGGGAAAGAGTGTTTGTGTATGGACATGTTTGCATGAGAGGCTAAAGGCTTGAGGTCAACCTCAGGATCAGGCACCCTCACTTTGAATTTTTTTTTGGCAGAGACCTCTCACAAGACACAGGGCTGAGTGATCAAGCATGGCTGGTTGGTTACAGAGCTTCTGGGATCCTACTTCCTCTGCCAGCCCAGTGCTTAAATAGCAGATACACAGCACCGCAACTAGCTTTTTCCCCAGGGGATACTGGGACTCAGTCTCAGGTCCTGATGCTTAGACAACAAATACTATACCCACTGGGCTATCCAGCCAGACTTTAATGGATATTTAAACCTCTGTGTAGCTCTCACTAAGAGAGATAGTTTCAAGATAAAAATTCATAATTCCAATTTATACTATTTTAAATTAAAATCTATACTATTAAATTAGAAGGACAGAGCTATAAATATAAAGCATCTATCAATGCCAAGAGGGCTGATATATAATTATATACCAGATATATGATATATAATCACATATAATCACATTATATATGATTAATATGAAGAACACATCTTATGACTGTGGAGAACAAAATACATGAGAAGCTATAACCTCCAGCAATGCAATGGTGAAATTCCTAATATTTAAGGCAAATGCTTTAAATATTATTCTATGGGATCAGAGACTTACAGTTCGTTTTAGATATCAGGTACACAGAAAACACTGAATGAATGGACAGTTGTAGTCATATTAGAGAAAGTGAAATTGGTCGGGGAGAGTGATGGACAACTCTGTCCTTAGTACTCAGAGGCTGAGGCAGGAGGATTGTGAGTTTAAGCCCACCCTTGTCTACACTGGGAGTCTGAAGTTATTCTGAGGTATGGAGCAAAACCTTGAGTCAGAAAAATAACAGTGTCACAACTGCTGTTTCATGGGATGTGATGGCTGGTACTGGGGAAAACACTGTGAGAGTCAAGGTTCGATCCTACCCTCTGACTTGCTGAGCTATTTAGCTTTCTGCATATCTTGTGCAAAGCAGACCTGTCTGTTAACATGGATAAACAAATACCATTCTGTGAGTTTTCATTTTATTTACCTTCTCCTTAATTTCTACAATTATACATTTTCTTCCATCAGAATTAGAGAGCTCCATCTACCCTGCGGGTGATTCCATCCATCAGAACAGCCTCCTGCCAAACATCTGGAGGAGTTGGCACTTCATCAGCTTCACAACCTTGTTCCTTTCCTCTCACCTCC